GTTTGTGTCGTGTTCTTAAAGGTGACCTGAGTTTTAGACCTCTAGAAGTGCTATGGAGCAGTTTTTCAATGAGCGGGTCCCTGCATGTGCACGGGCACTCACATGTACATGTGTGACACAATTTACAGTCCTGCCAATAGTTTCACACTGATCTATAGGTATATATGCAGCAATGCACCAGTTAAGGCAGGGACAAAGAATGAGACTGCTAGCAAGTCAATATGGATGTAAACAATTCAGGATTTAAAATACCTTAATAATCACTGAATGTAAAGAGTACTTTTGTTTGCTTACAAGAAAACTCCACGGGCACCTTTAAATTCACACAGTAGCAGGAAGTTATTTCATGTACAACCTAGAAAAGTAGAATTTTCTGTGAATATAATGACGGGCAACACTGATTTAAAATTTTGTATCTGTAAACATTGATAAATGACATTCACAAAATAATTAATTTAAACAGGTTACATTTTCAGAGCTCATCATATTTCATCTTGACAAAGCACTAAAAGGTGAACTCAATTCTTTTGTGGTCCTTTTTAATTGTACTGTTGTACTATGTGAAATTCCACATGGCAGACAGTGTCAAGTGGTGTAACTATAGGATTTCTGTTCCTAATTTGCTCACTTTAACATTTATACACCAATTCACAGTATACAATAATATTCAAGTATATTTATGATTGAGAAAAACTGAATGCATGGCTGAAAGCCCAAGAAGTCACCAGCACAAACTATTAGATATAGTAGATTAGATTTAGATTATAGGGTTATAAAAATGTTACTTAACAGTCATTACAAAAACCCTTGTCCACCCTTTAATACCAAAGCCAAGCAGTGTCAGACCCATATCCCATCCTGGTTAGGAGCAGGGTTGCAAAGCCATGTTGGAGACAACTCATGCTGACCCACTGACCAACCCTAAACAAATATTTACCCCAAGGTCCTTGCTTTGGTCTGAAAAGCCAAGTAAATGTGGAGTTTGCTCTTCCAAAGCTGTATGCTAACCTGCATTCAGAATGAAGTAGAACACATGATGATAAAGAAAATGAAAGCACATAATTGTTAGAAAGGATTTTCAAGTAACTCTGGTTCAAGGAGAGAGACAAACTGACAAAGTGCAAATACATCTAACACAAAGGTAAAGCTGTGTTCACACCTGTAGTTTGGTTCAATTGGTCCATACAAAAAATCAACAAAAAAAACATTGTTGCTGTTTAATATTAGTCTGCCTAGGGCTCAAACTGTCTTATTACAAACATAAGTTAAGGGGGCCAACAGGTTGCTTATTCATCCATATCACTGGTGAATATGTGGAATTGCCGTAAAGCCGTTCGTGTTTCTCGCTCGTTCTCGCGATACTTCCATTTTTGCCAAGTTTACCAGGACGGTGATCCCAAAGTTGGCAATGGTTGGTTTTCCGCGCGGCTGGGCCGCCTGAGCGGGGGGTGGGGGGGTCACGATTTTCAGCCGGAACAGGCATTTATTAATACCATGCCAACATGATTTCTAAAAACGGGGTTTATTAAGGCTGAAAAGTTGGCAAGTTCCCCTTTAATGCAGTTACACTGCACTTAGAAAGTCTCTCCCCTAGTGGCTGTAAAGAGCTCACTATGCTCACAAATAAACACACTCACTGATATGAGCATTAATTAAAAATGGCCTTTGTCTGTTTTAAATAACAACATTATTTTCCAGAGGTTTTAACCAAATCTCACAAATTTCTTCTGAAAATGGAGATAGACAGATCTCTGATGGTTGGAGTGAGTTAGTCCAAAATAAGTGCATTGAGGAAAATCAGAAGAAGTGGTTAAAAGCCCTGGCAAAAGCTAGTAGGTTGAGATTGATTTGTCAAACTGCAATAGAGTTTGTTTAGTCGCAGACCAAAAACAGCTTTTCTGTCTTACACCCTTTTTTTCTTGTTTTTTGTTTTACACCAAAGTAAGTGTGTATATGCAGGTCTTTGAAATGCAGGTAAACCCCAGCAAAATAGGCGATTGACTCCTTTCCC